GAGAATATTTCAGGAGATCAGGATCCAACACCAACTGAAAATCTGGCTGGTTGGCTTGGAACCTAAAGCAAGGGGTCCCCAAACTCTTGGCCAGTGGGCCACGGAAATGGCTGACCTGTGTGAACACGTGTGGGCGCGCATTCCCCGTTTGCGCATGTGCGCAAACGGGGCCGCTTAGCCCCGGGTGGGCGTGTGCAGCCCATTTGCACATGTGCAAACGGGGCCGCTAGCACCAGGTGGATGTGCACAGCTGTTCATCCACACCACTGGCACCAGCGCATGCTGCATGCGCAAACGGGGTTGCTAGTGCTGTGCCAATGCGTGTGGCCCTGTTTGCGTGCGTGCGCACCAGTTTGGAAGCTGCTCTCCTTCCCTCTGGTCCGCGAGCCTGGAAACATTGGAGACCTCTGACATAAAGTAGTAGCAACAGGCTCCCGAGATACAGGTAGTCCTCGACTTATGACCACAACGGAGCCTAACATTTCGGTTGTTAAGTGAGACATGTGTTAAAAGTGAGCTTTGCCCCATTGTATGACCTTTCTTGCCACCGTGGCTAAGTGAATTGTCGCAATTGATAAGTTAGTTACCCGGTTGTTTAAGTGAACCTGGTTTGTCTGAAGGTCGCCGAAGGGGATCCCGTGACCCTGGGACACAGCCGTGGTCATAAATGGGAACCAGTCGCCAAGCATTTGAATTTTGACCATCTGATCATGAGGATGCTGCAATGGTCATTAACTATGAAAAGCCGTCGTAACTGACGTTTTTCATTGCCGTTGTAACTCTAAATAGTCACTAAATGAACTGCTGTAAGTCAAGGACTACCTGTAGTCCGTTCCAGCCTCTACTATGTAGGTTCGGAGTTAATCTGAGAGGGTGGGGGAGTCATGACACAGGGCAGGAGGCTGGGCTGAAACAGCCCAGGCCCATTTGTGATCCGCCTTGCCAGCCTTAAATAATGAGCCTGCCTAAAATAAGAACAAAGTTACGTTTACTGAGACCCACAATATTTATTTATTTGTTTGTTTGTTTTATTTTTATTTATTTATCCCACCGTTATTTTTTTATACACAACTCAAAAGCGGTGAACATTCCTAATACTCCTACCTCCTCCTAATGTTTCCCACAACGACAACCCTGTGAGGTGAGTTGGGCTAAGAGAAAGACGACTGGCTCAAAGTCACCCGGCTGGCTTTCTTGCCTAAGGCAGGACTAGAACTCACTATCTTCTGCTGATTGGCCCAGAGTCACCCAGCCAGCTTTTGTGACTAAGGAGGGACTAGAACTCAACCTCCCCCAGTTTCTAGCCTGGTGCCTTCATGAATAGAATAGAATAGAATAGAATAGAATAGAATAGAATAGAATAGAATATGGAATGGGGAATAGAGTAGAGTAGAGTAGAGTAGAGTAGAGTAGAGTAGAGTAGAGTAGAGTAGAGTAGAGTAGAGTAGAGTAGAGTAGAATAGAATAGAATAGAATAGAATATAGAATAGGAGTAACAGAGTTAGAAGGGACTTTGGAGGTCTTCTAGTCCAGGGGTAGGCAACCTTGGCCCTTTTATGACTGGTGGACTTCAACTCCCAGAATTCCTCAGCCAGCATGGCTCAGCTTGGAAACCTCTCCCTGTCCCCTCAGCGTGGCCGGCTCAGGAATTCTGGGAGTTGAAGTCCACGAGTCATAAAAGAGCCAAGGTTGCCTACCCCTGGTCTAGTCCAACCCCCTGCTCAGGCAGGAAACCATTTCAGACAAATGGCAGTCCAGTCCCTTCTTAAAAACTTCCAGTGTTTTCAGATAAAAGAGAAGCTGTGTAGTCCTGAACATCTTTATCTATGGGGGGGAAAGCATGAGTGAGACTGGCTAACTGGCACCAAGAAGACGAAGAAATTGTCTTCTTTCCATTCTGGATACTGGATATTTTTATTCCTCGATTCCTTGAGTTTGTGGGTCTTTGGGGCTTGAAGACCACGTCCTCCCTTCGTTCTCCCAATCTCCACCATGTTGACAACCAAATCTCGCTCCGACACGGCCTACCCGTTTCCCTCAGTGTAGGCCATGTTCAACTTTGGCACGGCCAGTCAGCACAACCGTGCCAGCCAGGCATAACGTAGCTACAGTCCAACCTATCCGGAGGGCATCCCCTCAAGAAGGATGGCTGAGCAATCTTGAAGAGAAACGCACTGCAGATGTCCCGGCCAGCGTCTCTCATTTCAGAGCATGTTTAAAGCAAACTGATGGGGGAAAAATATGAGAATCAGTTAAATAGTCCTTGACTTACAACCAGCCGTCTGAAGTTACAACGGCAGTGAAAAATTGACCTTAAGACAGTTTTGTCACATTTTATGACCGTTGCAGCACCGCCATGGTCAAGTGACCCAAATGCTTGGAAACTGGCATGTATTTACGATGGCTTCAGCGTCCCATGTGTGTGTGTGTGTGTGTGTGTGCCGTGATCCCCTCTTGGGACCTTCTGGCCAGCAAAGTCAATGGGGAAAGCAGATTCACAACCACCATGTAAACCAGAGGTAGGCAACCTTGGCTCTTTTATGACTTGTGGACTTCAACTCCCAGAATTCCTGAGCCAGCCACGCTGAGGGAAAAGGGAGAGGTTTCCAAGCTGAGCCATGCCGGCTCAGGAATTCTGGGACTTGAAGTCCACGAGTCATAAAAGAGCCAAGGTTGCCTACCCTTGATGTAAACTAACGACTGCGGTGATTTACTTAACCACTGAGGTAAGAAAGGTCGTAAAATGGAGCAAGGCTCAGTTAACAATTGTCTTGCTTAGCCAGGGAAAGTTTGGGCTCGGCTGGGGTCGCAAAGTCGAGGACCACCTGTAACTTCTTCTTCTTAAAATTTACACTGAATTTCTACAATCGAACGGCTATCGGTTATTTCCTTCAAATGCGTCATAGGCACGAGTAGCAATAAATCAGCGTAATTCTGCTGGTGCCGGTCTTTCGCACCTGACACTTAGGCATGAGAGCCAGCTGGGTGACTTTGGGCCAAATCACCAGGAGCCTGCGAGTTCGAGTCATGCCTTAGGCCTGAAAGCCAGCTGGGTGACTTTTAAGCCAGTCAATCTCTCTGCCTACCATGTCAAGCTGGTTGGTCAATCCCTTTCACAACCAAATGCTAGGAAGAAGAATTAACCACAGTCCAGTTATGGTGCTTCCTTCCAATATATATATAAAAAAAAATCAGTGATATAATTTCAATTGCAACTTCCCAGGGAGTAAGTAGTAGCTCCTACCGCTGACAGGACGTCCTGGTGGCCTGGGCCGTGGAGAGATGCTGTGGGGTTCCCCTTCGGCCCCATCGAACACGGGGCGGCCAAAAATCACTTCCAGCTCCTTGCCGTCTGGCGGGGGAATGGGATACCGTCCAATTGACAGCTCCACCAGGGAGAGGCCCATGCTCCAGATGTCCGACTGAACGGAATAGTGGGTGCCTTGTAAACGCTCCGGCTGCAAGCAAATCAGAACAGAGGCGGGGTGAGGGCCCATCTTGCAACACACACCTGCCAATCCCAGTGGCTCCTTCGACATCCGGGTAACACACCTAGGTGAGAAATTTATGGGAAGCCAGCAGGAACGGGAAGGCTGAACTGGAAAGAGGCTTTCGCTGTCAGGATAGATACTCGAGTTAATTACCAGAACAGCCCTTCTTCAGAAGCCAGGCCAAGAGGTATAATAATCTACCTAGAGAACCTTTGTTTGCTGGATTATATGCCAATAAATAAAAGAAGCAGAAAATAGAGATGCACTTAGCAGAGAGTGCAAGGTACCTTGCTTCGCCTCCAGTTGCAAAAAGCTGCCTCGGTGCCACCTTTGCTGTCACAAACGACCGAGAAGTGAAACTACCGACACTTAAGGCTGGAAGTTACTTATGATTTAATTTATAGGGTGCACCAGCTCCCAAATGACTTTGCTTCTGCTTCCTGATGGAAAAACTCAATTTACAACCATCTAGCATCACCCAGACTGGCCGAGGGGGGCAAAGGACCCAGCTGATAGGTTGATTACTTCCCAGAAAGACAGATTCAGATTACTATGACAGAGCAACTCGTTTGAACTATACTCTTTCAAGTGCTGCAATCAAGACTACCCTTCTGAAAATCACTATATCCCGATACCGTACCTGCTTTAATACCCGCAGAGTTAGTAATCTAGTTGTTACACAACCTCCCTTGACAAACACACCAGTCCAGCTAGGCGTAGGAAGCACAGAGCGCAGAGGTGCGGACAGTCCTGGAGGCCCCCTCGGGGTTTCACATGTAACACCGCTGCTGTGTGAGTTGAACTGGTTGCCAATTTGCTTCCGGGTCCCATTCAAGATGTTGACTGTTATCTTCAAAGCTCTTTATGGCACGGGTTCAAGGAATCTGAGGAGCCGTGTCACCCCAAAGGGACTAGCCCGGCCTGCTCACTCCAGCAGAAGAGGCCTACTTTGGATTCTGTTTGCCAAAAGGTTTCAGCCGGCGGGGTCCAGGAGAAGAGTCTTCTCTGCTGTGGCCCCCGCCCTCTGGAATATTCTCCTGCTGGAGATGAGGTTGGGCCCCACACTCCTGGCTTTCCGAGAGAGCCTGAAAACCTGGCTCTGCCGGCTGGTCTGGGCCCCCAAAAGGAGAGCGCGATATTGGGGGCAGCTGACAGGCTAGAGCAGTGGTGGCGAACCTATGGCACGCGTGCCAGAGGCGGCACTCGGGAGCCCTCTCTGTGGGCACGCGCACCATGCCCTGGAGATGGCAACTGTCCTCTTCAACCAGTCGCCTGCTAACTTGCTGAGGTCCCACGTGGCCGGATGCATCCCAGCACCCATGCGCTTGCTGGCCTTTGTGTGCGGGGGCCGATAGTGTCAGGCAGCAGCCGCCCTGGCCCCTGCCTCGCCTTGCCCTGCAACATGGCACCCCCGCCATGCCTCGCCTCACCCCGCAGAAACAGCCTCCTGCCCATCGCCCCACCCACCAGAAACCCCTGGATCTCCCCCAACCCTGCCCGGCTCCCACAGGCGTCCCTCCCCAGGAGCAACATTGAGCTGGCCATGGCCACGCCCACCCGTCTGCCATGACCACTGTAGCCACACCCACCCGGCGCCCGGCAATACATAAGTGGGTTTTGGGTTGAAGTTTGGGCACTCGGTCTCTAAAAGGTTCGCCATCACTGGGCTAGAGGGAAGATTCCCACCCTCATGTAGCCTGTGTCCCTGTGGTTTTTAAGTCTCTTGTTTACACCTCCTAATTGTAATCGCTTTGCATAATCATTTTCATCTATTTCTCATACTGTAAGTCGCCCAGAGTTAGCGTGACAGTGAGGTGGGTGGCACAGAAATTTCATATATAAAATGGGAACAGAATTCCAACTTATTGTCATCAAGTATAGATTGTGCCTTCACGTCCCATTTCGTTCCTGCTGAACAAACGAATCATTTGTTCATTTTATATGCATTAGGTTTGTACTTCGATTTTTGTTCTTTTAACACAGTGGTTCTCAACCTTTTTAATGCCGCGACCCCAACCGGCCGTAAGTCGAGGACTAAACCAGTCGTAAATCGAGGACTAAACCGGTCGTTAAGTCAAGGACTAAACCGGTCGTAAGTCGAGGACTACCCAACCGGTTGTAAGTCGAGGACTTTCCCTGACCGGGAGCGCCACGCATGCGTGGTTCCGCCCCCTGCGCCGGCCGAGGCGTAGCTGGCAAGTGGCAGAGACGGAGCAGGCCGACCACCACCTGGCCCAGCCCAAGGGAGGTAAGGCACCCGCCGGAAAAGGGGGAAAAAATGGCGGACAAAAAAAATGGCAGACAAAAAAATGGCGGCCAGCCTTGCTTGGCGACCCCCGTGAAATGGTCGATCGACCCCAAATGGGGTCCCGACCCACAGGTTGAGAACCACTGTTTTAACACAACAGAATCGGAAGTGTCAGCTTCTGTACTTCACGCTTATTGAGAGATCAAACTAGGGCACAGGAGAAGCTTCCTTAACGTCTACGGAAATTCTTAATCATCCAGGTCATGGTTGTTCCAACGGGTTTTTTTTCCCCCCCAAAAAAGGAGCCGTGGTGATGCAATTGTTTAAGAGTGCAGTATTGCAAGTTAATTCTGCCCACGGCCTGGAGTTCGATCCTGACATGCTCAAGGTTGACTCAGCCTTCCGTCCTTCCGAGGTCAGTAAAATGAAGACCCAGATTTTGGGGGGCCAATAAGCTGACTCTGTAAACTGCTTAGAGAGGGCTGTCTAAGTCTAAGTGCTGTGGCTAAAAGGCAACTGGACTATCTTGGTGTTTACTTTGCAAATGTTTCATTTCTCGCCTAACAAAGTCCTTCAGCTCTAACTCTTTTTCTCACTAGCCACAGCAGCCCAGTGGAAGTAACCAAATGGCTCGCCAGACAAGCATACACACACAAACACACAAAGTCAGAATTGTAGAGAATTCTGGCTTTGTAGTGCGTGGCTTTAACTATTTATATCGGGGGGGTCCCCAACCTGTGAGCCACAACCCACTACTGGACTGTGACCTATTCACAACTGGGTGGGCCACGTGAGCGGTGGGCTGGCGCACACCCGCACGCTCACAGCCCCAGTTGTGCGAGCGGTATCCCAAAGGCTTCTCTCTTGTGTGAGTGGAGCTACGTGTGTGTGCACAGCGGCCCGCCGCTCACCCGGCCCGACTCCCCTCTCCCCCGTTAGCCGGGCCGCCAAGCCACCTGCTCCAGGCAGAGCAGAGGCTGAGTGGGACGACCACACCGTGATTTGCCGAGGCTGCCTTCACAGGACACCTGATCTACTTTTGGGGTGTCGGTGAGTAGGAGACTGTGCCCCCAATGGCACGTCTCTTCTCTGCGCCAAAAGGCTTCAAGGAGCGATCTTGCGCTGCTTTTGTCCCTTTGCAAAAGTTTTGGGCGCGGAGAAGCCGGAAGGAGCCAAGACCGCCCCCCCAAAGACTTGACTTCTCTCTTGCATGTGTGGAGCTGCATGAGTGTTCTCACGTGGCCCCGTTCCCCTCTCCTGCCTCCCCCCCCGAGGCTGGGCTGCCCAGCCAGAAAAGTTGGGGACCACTGGTTTATATGGAATTGTTATATCCGATACAAATGTTTGAGCTTCCTCCACCCCAGATAGGATTAAGTAAAGCCTTGGGGAAGACCTGTTACTGCTGGAAAAAATGAAGGCATTCATAGCTCAAAGGGAGTTGAGGTCAGAAAGAAAAAGATCCAGCTTAAAGGAAGACGCTGTTTAAGGCAGTGTTCCCGACTTTGGGGACTTTAAGAGGTGTGAACTTCAACTCTCAGAATTCTGGGAGTTGGAACTCCTCACATCTTAAAAGTTCCCAAGGTTGGGAAAACACCGGTCTAAGGCAACATACAGTAGTGGCCAAAATTGTGGAAACCTTTTGGGAAAAGTGTATTTTTGAGGTTTGATGGCTTATAACACCACCTTTTTTTGGAGCAGTACCATAAAAGTATATATCAATGGAAAGATAATTTAAACAAGAATGTAATGCAACATAGTTTGTTCAATTGTCTGTACTGTATTCTAGGAAAAGCTACAGCCAAATAACCAGAAAAAGGAAGCACACCTTGCTTAGGTTGATCTCCGGTAGCTTTCCTTCATCTGATGGTAGCCAATGAGCATGAGTGTTTAGAGAGCCAATCAGGTGTCATCTTGTTTTGGCAATGAGCCAATCAGATCACAGTAGGATTCAGTTATTAATGTCATGTATTGAAGCTGAGAGGAGGACATTTGTCTGTGTTATGTGATTGCTATCAAGTTGGTTGGGGTTTTTTTCCCCTTTCATTGAGTGAGCTTGTAAAATGTAATAAAATTAAAGTAACGGTGCAAAGAGTTGACTGGTTGCCCAGAAAGTAATGTAAAATAGTATTAGTAAGAGAACAAGGCTACAGTGATAAAGAAATTAGAAGAAAAATGGGTGGAAACTTAACCAAAAGTGGCATTTCTACTGTACACTTGTCCTAAAACATTTCCACAATTTTGGCCACTACTGTAGCTGCAACACAACCCAAAGCATCACGAGAGAGGTAGACGTTAGGCAATCTTCATTACAACATCCCCCACGCCAGCTGTCATATAGTAGCAATCCTTCCCCCACAGGGACAAACTTGATGTTGTCTTAGCTCCGTTTTTAGAAAGCATGAGGACGTACAGACATGTAGGATCGGGTCCCCACAAAGGAGTTGGCCATGGAGTCGATGAGCTGCCCGCTGACTCCAAAATCACACAGCTTAATCTCGCCCCGGGAATTCACCAAGATGTTAGAAGGCTTCACATCTGGAAACAAGAAATTGTTTAGAGACAAAGAAGGGAGAGAAAAACACCACAAAACACTAAAAAGGGCACCCTAAGAAGGAATTCTAGTTGCGAGCTGTTCTGAGTAAAAGCTCTATGGACACCCAACTCCCCCCCCCCATGAAGACAAGAAAGAGTCGGTTAGGCCAGGGCGTTTCAACCAGTGGTACGGGTACCACCTGTGGTACATTGGCACCTGGCAGGTGGTACGCGACCATCCTAGGAAAGTGGTAGCGAGGGAGGGGAATGGACTGAACCGGTGGCAGCACCACACAAGCCTGAGCGAGAGACGGCTGGAGCTGCAGGGCTGTCAGGGCTCAGCAGAAGCGCCAGGATCGGTGCCGCTTTCCAGCTGATTAGCACTTCTTCGGCGCTGTCAGGGCTCAGTGGAAGCGCCAGGATCAGTGCCAGGCTCCAGCTGGAGCTCGGCACTGATCCTGACGCTTCTGCTGAGCCCAGAAGAAGCGCCGATCAGCTGGAATGTTGCAGCATCTCCAGGGTCTTGTGATTTACATTCAGATGCTTGGCAACTGATTCATATTTATGACGGTCACAGTGTCCCAGGGTCCTGTGAAGTGACCAGAACCTGCTGCAACCACCCAGCAGACGGGGGGCATAAAAACCAAACACTCCCCCACCCCACCCTGCTGCCAATCCTCAAAAGAAATGCTCACAACAATGGAAACCTCGGACAGGAGGAAGAGCGCCACCGGGTGGGCAGGCAGGTGTCTTGCTCGGCTGTGCCTGGGGGGGGCACTTTTTTCAGTGCCATTGTAACTTCGAACAGTCACTAAGCAAACTGTTGTAAGTCGAGGACTACCTGTACTTTATCACTTTGTTTCCTTTTGGGGGGGGACATCAACTTTTTGACCCCTTGCTAGGCGACTGGTGGTACTCGGATGTTGCCCTATCCTAAAAGTGGCATAATGGGTGAAAAGGTTGAAAAGCCCTGGGTTAGGCTGCTAGGTCGTGGCCAGAATCTCGGATTAGATCAACCTGGCTGGCTGGGGTCTGGGAGTTGAGGCCCACATATCTTACAGCTGCTAAGGTTAAAAAACACCAAATTAGGTGGCAGAAAATAATAGGTAAACTATTAATATTAATAAAACAATAAATACAGGCAGTCCTCGACTTAACAACCATTTGTTCAGTGGCCATTCAAAGTCACAACGGCACTGGGGGGGGAAAAAAGCATCTTGAGACCGTTTTTCAAACCGACCACTAATGTGTCATAGCCATAGTCATGTGATCAAAAACTTGGACCTTTGGCAACTGGTTCATATTTATGACGGTCGCTGTCATATCCCGGAGTCACGCAATCCCCTTTTGCGACCTCCTGACAAGCAAAATCAATGGGGGAAGCCGGATTCACATAACAACCATGTTACGGACTTAACGGTGGCAGTGATTCACGTAACAGCCGTGCCAAGAAAGATCATAAAATGGATCAAAGCAAAACCGTCTCGATTAGCAATAGAGATTTTGGGCTCAACTGTGGTCATAAATTGAGGACTGCCTGTATTCTCAATGGCTGTAATGTGGTCCCAATGAACCTGTGGCTTTGGGCTGATTTCATGTAGGCCAGGGGTAGGCAACCTTGGCTCTTTTATGACGCGTGGACTTCAACTCCCAGAATTCCTGAGCCAACATGGCTCAGCTTGGAAACCTCTCCCTTTCCCCTCAGCATGGCTGGCTCAGGAATTCTGGGAGTTGAAGTCCACGAGTCATAAAAGAGCCAAGGTTGCCTACCCCTGAATTGTAGGCCAAGATGTTGTGCATCCCCTGGTCTCCTTCAGAGACCACCTTGCAATCCCTTCCCCTGCGTGTATGCAGAGGGATGTAGCTGCACAAAGTCAGGAAGAGCTGAGCAGTTCCATAAATTCCACCCATGCCTGGCAGGGTCCCCCAAAACTCTTCTGAGACTCAGGAAACTCACAATGGAAATGACCCCCTGCCCAAATTCTCCTTCCCTTGAGGGGTCCTTGGTGCTCTCTGGGCTTGCTTGTTTTCTCGCAGATGTTTCGTTACCCTAATGTTACCCTAGGTAACATCATCGGTGCTAGTAATTTCACAATGTATAGACAGATATAACCATAGTTTCAATGGGGAAAATGTGACCATCCTAGGCCAGGCCAAATCCAAAAATGCCAGGGAATTTCCAGAAGCCTAGCCTCTAACCAATCAGCCATCAACGGACACAGAGGCGTTAACCACATCTATTGTTGTTGTTAGTTGCAAAGTTGTGTTCGAACCATCGTGACCCCATGGACAACGTTCCTCCAGGTCTTCCTGTCCTCTACTATCTTCTGGAGTCCCTTTAAGCTCACGCCTCCTGCTTCAGTGACTCCATCCAGCCACCTCATTCTCTGTCGTCCCCTTCTTCTCTTGCCCTCCATCTTTCCCAGCATTAGGCTCTTCTCCAGGGAGTCCTTCCTTCTCATTAGGTGGCCAAAGTACTTGAGTCTCAACTTCAGGATCTGGCCTTCTAAAGAGCAGTCGGGGTTGATCTCCTCTAGGACTGACCGGTTGGATCGCCTTGCAGTCCAGGGGACTCGCAGGAGTCTTCTCCAGCACCAGAGTTCAAAGGCCTCCATTCTTTGGCGCTCAGCCTTTCTTACGGTCCAACTTTCACAGCCATACATTGCAACTGGGAAAACCATGGCCTTGACTGTACCTACTTTTGTTGGCAGGGTGATGTTGGCAGGGTGATGTATGCTAACCACATCTATAGATTATGCAAAAGAGGCAATGAAATAGCCCAAAGGAGAAGAAGAATCCAGCACCTCTCCACCAGGAATCAGCACCCAGATCAGCATAGATTAACTCCAACGTCACCTTCAGACCACCCATCAAGTAAGCGACACCCCAATCAAGAAAGGGCCAAAGAGCCCTTAGTAAACAGCCCAACCAAAGAATTCCTAAGACCCCCCCACCCACCCAGACAGGCAAGATACCAGAGTATAAGCAAACAGCACTCCTTACTAGCATTGATGATGTTACCCAGTTAGGGTAATGAAACGTTTGCAAGAAAACAACCAAGCTCAGAGAGCACCCAGGACCCTTCATTTCAACCCTGGGCTACAAATATTCTCCTTCGTTGGTCTCCTTTCGTTGTTGGAAAGCAACACTTGGAAGTCTTAAAACTGCAAGTGATGAATTTCAGAACTGTGAAGGGCTTTTCTTAATAAGCAGCTTTTCTTTTCTTTTTCCCAGCTCCAAGATGAACACAAAGGTGACAGAAGAGGCTGCCCTCAAGAGGCAAGGGTCTGTATAAGCGTCGTGCAATAAAAGAACACAACAACACAATTGGCAGATTTCTGCGACCCTGACAAGCTTGCAAAAATCCGCAAACTGGGCAGTGTACCGTACAGCCACAATATAGGCAATGCTCCTGGCTAAACCACGTGTAGAATTAAGCCTTGGAATGAGAATGATGTCCAGCAGATCTACACAACCCCAGTTCACTTACATGTGCAGGCTCCTCCTTCTATTACAAACAACTCTCACCTCGGTGCATAATTTGGTGCTTCTCTCGTAAATAAGCCAATCCTCGCAGAACCTGAAGAGAAGAGAAGAGGAGAGGAGAGAGGAGAGAAGAAAAGAGGAGAGGAGAGAAGAGGAGAAGAAAAGAGAAGTGGAGAGGAGAGAAGAAAAGAGAAGAGAAGAGGAGAGAAGAGGGGAGAGCAGAGGAGAGAAGAAGAGGGGAAGGGAGAGGAGAGGAGAGGAGAGAAGAAAAGAGGAGAGGAGAGGAGAGGAGAGAAGAGGAGAGAAGAGAAGAGAAGGGAAGAGGAGAGAAGAGAAGAGAAGAGAAGAGAAGAGAAGAGGAGGGAGGGGAGAGCAGAGGAGAGGAGAGGAGAGAAGGGAGGAGAAGAGGGGAAGGGAGAGGAGAGAAGAGAAGAAAAGAGAAGAGGAGAGGAGAAGAGAAGAGGGGAGAGGAAATGAGAAGAGAAGAGAAGAGGAGAGGAGAGAAGAGGGGAGAGGAAATGAGAAGAGGAGAAGAGAAGAGAAGAGGAAGAAGGGAAAGGGAGAAGAGAGAAGAGAAGAGAAGAGAAGAGGAAGGGGGGAGGAGACAAGAGGAGAGAAATCAAGATTTGTGAGATGGAGCCTGATTGAGCCGTGCTGGCACAGTGGCTAGAATGCAGTACTGCAGGCTAATTCTGCGGACTACCAGCAGTTCGATCCCGACTGGCTCAAGGTTGACTCAGCCTTCCATCCTTCCGAGGTGGATAAAATTAGGACCCAGCTTGTTGGGGGGCAAGTAGGCTGACTCTGTAAACTGCTTAGAGAGGGCTGTAAAGCGGTATATAAGTCTTAAGTGTTGGTGCTAATGCTATTTTATAGATGGGAAGCTAAAAAAAATAAAGACTCACACATATGTGTGGCAGAACAGAGGGCGGCCGTCTCCTGACTAAAGGGACAATTCGCTGCTCAAACCCTCGCAGGAGGATACGGATGAAACTCTGTCTCACAAACCCTTGTTTGGGGGAGTCAAAGGGAGGCAGTTGCATACTCACTGCTATACTGACTTTGCCCAAGATTTCTTCAGGAATCCTCTTGGCTTCTTTCAAAACCTGATCCAAGGAACCTCCATCCTAAAACCAGTGGAAAGGTAATTATGTTTATTTATTCACTGGATTTTTATCCCGCCTTTATTGCTTCGTAAGTTACTCAAGGTGGAGAACGTAGATACTCCTTCCTGCTCCTATTTGTCCCCACAACAACCCTGTGAGGTGAGTTGGGCTAAGAGAAAGCAAGGGGCCCAAAGTCACCCAACTGTCTTTCATGCCTACAGTGGGACTATAACTCACGGTTTTCTGGTGACTGGCCCGAAGTCACCCAGCCAGGTTTCATGCCTAACACAGTACTAGAACTCACCATCTCCTGGTGATTGGCCCAAAGTCACTCAGCCAGGTTTCATGCCTAACACGGTACTAGAACTTACCATCTCCTGGTGATTGGCCCAAAGTCACTCAGCTGGCTTTCATGGCTAAGGTGGGACTAGAACTCACCATCTCCTGGTGATTGATCCAAAGTCACCCAGCCAGGTTTCATGCCTAACACAGTACTAGAACTCACCCTCTTCTGGTGATTGGCTCAAAGTTACCCAGCTAGCTTTCGTGTCTCAGGCGGGACTAGAACTCACCGTCTCCTGGTGATTGGCCCAAAGTCAGCCAGCCTGCTTTCAGGTTTAAGGTGGGACTAGAACTTCCAGTCTCCTGGTTTTCCAGCAGCAGCCTACATTGTCTTAAAATTTAGAATTAGAAAACACCCCAGCCAACCAAATGAATAATGAGGAACCAGATTTAAGTAAGACATGGCACAAAGAATATCTTACAATCTCTTGAAAGATACAAGGTACATAAAGTTTCAACACCATGCCTGAAATTAGACAAAGAAGGGACAGGCTACCTTCAAGGAGCGTTCTGCAAATGAGGTGTTGTTAAGAGAAGACACAACCCCACCTTGCCACAACCAACTCTTAATAACGGATTCTACAGAAAAATTGATTGACAGAGCTGATGATTCTCAACAGCTCCAATTCACACAGCCAGGAAGCAAAATATTAAACACTTCGTTGTTAACCATTCTCCATCTGCTTTAATCAGCTATAGTTCTGGACGACTAACGAAGCAGGTTCTCCTTTTTAAAAACCTATTTATCAAATTTATACAGCCGCCCATCGCATAAAAAGCGAGATTTTTCTTGAAGATTCTTAGTATATTTTTGTAACTCAAGATACCTTCCTCTTTGACAGAACATACTAGCTCTGGGTTACTTGAGACAATATATGGCTTGGCTAAGGCACCCCATTCACTAGAGAAAGCTATTATGTTTGGAAGAGATTAGCGATAAAAGGAAACCAGGCCATCAAAGAACACGGTGGCTGACACCAGCCAGACCACAGGAAAACTCAAAGGAGTAGTGCAAAATCAGATGTGGGGGAGGCCTGGCCCACAGAATTGCCAAGAGCCGGATACGACTGGTTATCTTCATCATCATCATCATCATGGCACCCCCATAAGCCTATGCAGCACATCTGCTGTTACTTTTACCACAGAAAGTTGAAATCTCTGCAGAACACATGGAAAATATTCTTTTTTTTTTTAAGGGTGTGAGTTCGTCTTTCTTTTTTTTTTTTTTTTTTTTCAAATTTTTTTTTATTATTTTCAACATAAGAAAAAAGCAAACACAAGTACATCACAATTGAGAAAACCCCCTCCCCACCCCCCACCCGGACTTCCCAAACCTAATCCCAGGATACTATTCATCTAAAAGTAACCTTATATTAATATCCCTAACTCCACAAAGTATAATTGTACATAAATAGGTGAAATATAAGTATATATATAAAAAGAGAAAAAAAAAATTTTTTTTATCTAAAAACCTAACCTATATTCCACCATTCTATGCTTATTTTGAATATAAACAATCCATCTTCTCCATATTGATAAAAATGGAAAATATTCTGTCCAGAAAGGGCAGAAGCTGCAATGCTGTAACCAATCTCAACCGTGGCTTCTCTACCGATGCCACGGTCGGGCTGGAACGGGATCATGGAAGGCTCGTGTTCGTGTCCTCACATGACCCCACCGGCCTCCGTTATCTGTCACCCGTGATCAATCTCACAGGGCGGTTGCTAGGAGAGCAAAAGGGATGAGAGAGTATTACGTGCATCACCTTGACCTACTGGGATGCAAGATGAACACACGAGCCACCAGCTGAATTTAGCAAGGCGAGGAGAACGTTGAACTACGGGAGGACCTAGTAGAAGAGAAGGTGAAAGGAAGATGAATACCCATCATATTTCTGCGACAAACTGATTTAATCAGAGAAAACCTCCTCCTCCTCCAGGACTACTACAGGGTTATCCCATTTTTATGATTTACATGCTGTAGTGGCTTTAATATGACACCCTAAACGATACAAAAGGGGGGATCCTTGTTATGAGAAACTTAAAATATAGCAAAAGGAGAAAGGACAGAAGAGGGAGAAGGGAATGTGGAAGGACAGTTAAAACAGGGAAATTCAATTCATTTATATGGTGTATCTATGCTTAGACCTGTGATACAGGTAGCCCTTGACTTAAGAAGGGTGAAAATTACAACAGATTCCCCCCCCTCCAAGCTACTTACAACCGTACAACCAAAGATCCAGCAGCCCCTTCGGTCACGTGACTGCATTTCGGACACCTGGCAACCAGCCCACATTTTATGGCCATTTGTAGTGTCCTGCAGTCATGTTTTCTTTTTGTGGCAAAAACTGTCAACACCCAACCACAACTGAACCCAACATTTCTGTTGCTAAGCTGGTTGGTTAAATGAGTTCTGCCCCGGGTTGCGATCTTTCTTGTCACAGTTGTTAAATTAATCACTGTGAACTCATCAAATTTGTGAACTCATCAAATTTGCAGACGACACCAAGCTGGCAGGAATAGCCAACACTCCAGAAGACAGGCTTAAGATACAGGAGGACCTGGACAGACTTGAACACTGGGCGCTATCTAACAAAATGAAATTCAAGGGTGAAAAAAGTACGGTTCTACATTTAGGCAAGAAAAACCAAATGTACAGGTATAGTATAGGGGGTACCTTGCTCAATAGTAGTAACTGTGAGAGGGACCTTGGAGTCCTAGTGGACAATCACTTAAATATGAGCCACCGTGTGCTGCAGCTGCCAAAAAGGCCAACACAGTCCTAGGCTGCATTAACAGAGGGAGAGAATCAAGATCACATGAAGTGTTAATACCACTTTACAAGGCCTTAGTAAGGCCACACTTGTAATACGGCATCCAGTTTTGGTCACCACGATGTAAAAAAGATGTTGAGACTCTAGAAAGAGGGCAGAGAATAGCAACAAAGATGATTAGGGGACTGGAGGCTAAAGCATATAAGGAACGGTTGCTGGAATTGGGTAGGTCTCGTTTAACGAAGGGAAGGAGGAGGGGGGACAGGATAGCAGTCTTCCAGTATTTGAGGGGCTGCCCCAAAGAAGAGGGAGTCAAGCTGTTTTCCAAGGCACCTGAAGGCAGGACAAGAAGCAACGGATGGAAACTGATCAAGGAGAGAAGCAACCTAGAACTAAGGAGAAACTTCCTGACAGTGAGAACAATTAACCAGTGGAACAACCTGCCTCCAGAAGCGGTGAATGCTCCAACACTGGAAGTCTTTAAGAAGAGACTGGACAGCCATTTGTCCGAAATGGTATAGGGTTTCCTGCCTGAGCAGGGGGTTGGACTAGATGATCTCCAAGATCCCTTCCAACTTTATCATTATCATTATTATCATTATTATTATTATTGCCGTTGTTAAAAGTTAGTAACGTGGCTGTTAAGTGAACCTGGCTTCCTCCAATGACTTTCTTTGTCAGAAGGTCGCAAAAGAAGATCACGTGAATCCGGGACGCTGCAAACTGTCACAAATATGAGTCAGTTGCCAAGCGTTTGAGTTCTGATCGTGTGACCAGGGGGACGCCTCAAAGGGTCGTTAAGGTGTGAAAAATGATTGTAAGTCATTTTTTGCAGTGCCAATGTAACTCTGAACGGCCACTAAAGAAACTATTGTTAAGCCGAGGACCACCCGTACTTCCAGTTGTCTGCAAAAATGCCCCACAACAATGAGTCCACTTTTGCTAAATGACCATTGTAAACCAAGTAGCAAAATCAGGCCAATTGCATTGGTGACCTGCTTTATAACCATCATGATTGATTTAATTTTTCATATTTTTGAAAAAAAAAACCATGTACCTCAGGTGTACAATAAAATGGGCGATGTACAGTCAAACGTTATCTATATGGACTCATGTCCACAGTGGGAAGGCTCCATTACGGTTATAAGTTGAGGACTGCCTGTTTGTGCCAGTTTGGTCTAGTCTAGTGTTTACAGCACCAGGCTAGAAAATAGGAGACAAGGAGGTCTAATCCTGCTTTAGCCACGAAAGCCGGCTGGGTGACTTTGGGCCTGTCCCTCTCTCCCAGTCCAATCCACCTCGCAGGGTTGTTAGTTGTGGGGAAAATAGGAGGAAGATGTGTTGGAGGTGCCCACCGCCTTGAACTACTTGTAAAAATAAATAATAATAAAAGTGGGGTATGAATGAATGAATGAATTTGCCATTAGGCATCCCTTTATATAGAATTATCTAGATTCTAAGGCAACCTTTCTGGGTTGGTGGCCCAGGGCAGGAGGGTGGGGTGGGGGTACCTTTATGTATGCATGAACAGGCCGTGATTGCATGCGCGACACAAACGGAGCCACGAGTGCCTGTGTGATGCTCAGGCAACGCTAGTGCCCGCCCAACGCTACGATGCTAGCACAAGTGGGGGGAGTGTGGGCTCTCTGTGATGCTAGTGTGAGTGGGGGGGGGGGGCGCTCGTGGCAATGCTAGTGCTAGCACGAGTGGGAGGGGTGTGCAAGCATGCACACGTGTGTGCACTAGCCAGCCACGCACACAGCCCAGTGGCCAACAGCCCCACAGCCTGGTAGAGGGCTGCGGCCCACAGGTTGGGGATCCCGATCTAAGGGCCGCTTCTAATCCCCCATGCTCACCATAAAGGCCAGTTCTTCCCAGTCCTTTTGTCATGAAAATTGCTTTTCAATCGTTTACTCTGTCCAAGCCACACGCAGGACAATCTCTCTTTCGCTGCACAAATACGGAAGGAATGTCACCCAGAGCGACATTCAGATGGTCAGGATTTGAGCGCCAGCTTCTAGGAGGAGAACTTCCCAGAGAGGGACCCCCCCCCCAGAAATTGTCTCGAGACACAGGAAGTGTCATTTCTGGGCATCTTAAAAGAAAATGGCAAGGCTGCCTACAGTTGGGTATTCGTCGTCGTAATGTACAGGGAATCCCTGACTTGCAACAGGTTTTTTTTGGGTGACCATTCAAAGTTGCAACGGCACTGGGAAAAAGTGACCAATGGCCATTTTTCACACGGCCGTGGAGGCGTCCCCATGGTCACGTGATCAAAATTCAGAAGCTTGGCAGCTGACTCGTATTTAGGATGGTTGCAGTCTCCCAGTATTATACGATTCCCCTTTTGCGCCCTCCTGACAAGCCAAGTCCATGGGGAAGCCAGATTCACGTCACAACTGTGTTAGATGTCAGACCCCCCCCCCAAAAACCCCTCACCCGTTCTCTTTGGTCTTCTAGTCCAGGGCTTTTCAACCAGTGGTATGGGTATCACCTGTGGTACATTGGCACCTGGCAGGTGGTATGCGGCCATCCTAGAAAAGTGGTAGTGGGGGAGGGGAATGAGCTGAACCGGTGGCAACACCGCACAAGCCTGAGCGAGAGACGGCTGGAGCTGCAGGGCTCAGCGGAAGCGCCAGGATCAGCGCCAGGCTCCAGCTGGAGCTCGGCGCTGATCCTGGTGCTTCTGCTGAGCCCAGAAGCGCCGATCAGCTGGAATGTTGCAGCCTCTCCAGGGTCTTGTGATTTACATTCAGATGCTTGGCAACTGATTCATATTTATGACGGTCACAGTGTCCCAGGGTCATGTGAAGCGACCAAAACCTGCTGCAACCACCCAGCAGACGGGGGAAATAAAAACCAAACACCCCCAACCCCACCCCTGCTGCCAATCCTCAACCGAAATGCTCACAACAATGGAAACCTCGGACAGGAGGAAGAGCGCCACCGGGTGGGCAGGCAGGTGTCTTGCTCGGCGGTGGCTTGGGGGGCACTTTTTTCAGTGCCATTGTAACTTCGAACAATCACTAAGCGAACTGTTGTAAGTCGAGGACTACCTGTACTTTTTCCCTTTTTTTTTTGGGTCATCAAGTTTTTGACACCTTGCTAGGCGACTGGTGGTCCTCGGATGTTGCCATATCCTAAATGTGGGACAATGGGTGAAAAGGTTGAAAAGCCCTGATCTAGTCTTTTGGGGCCTGCCATTCAGTTGGGGGGAGGGGCTGCATGGGGGATTACGTTGCTAACTTTCGCTTTCCCCTTTCTCTGTTTGGCCCCCTCCCTTTAAGCGTGGAGAGTGCGTCTCCTCATCTAGGAGACAGCTGCAAGGAAAAGAAAGCTGGAGAAGACCTTGAGATGCCCGCCCACCGTGCCAGTCAGCCGGCCACCGAGCCACCTGTGGATTGGCTGGAGTTCAAACGGGCATGATGACTTTGGTGGGAGGGGCCATATTGCTTGCTTTAATTATACCATTTTTCAGATCTCGCCTTCCACTCCCTACTGTCTCTCGTCCCTAATAAAAGTTTCCTTCTGAGGCAATGCCTGTTTCAAGAGCTCTGCTGTCTTGGGTGATTAGTTGGAAGTGGGCCCTGAGGTTACTAAATCAACAAACCGAAAGGATTCACTTCACAAACGTGGCAAAGAAAGGTCGTAAAATGGGGCAAAAATTCACTTCGCAAACGTTTCGCTTAGCAGCGGAAAATGTTGGGCTCCATTTTGGCCATTAAGTCGAGGACTACACCCTGTATTTGGGTGGCTTTGCTTTTGAAAAGGTAAAAACTCCACAGGTTTTTTTTTATATATAATTACGTCAACAGATGGCAGCATCGCCTCTGTGCTGCAAGCAAAGGATGGTGGAGAGATCTCCCTTGGGTGGATTCCTTGCTCAAGAGATCCTGGCCTCGCCAAGAAGTCAGTTCAGATCAACCTGCTCGTTCTCGATCCTCTGAAGCAAAATCCCTGGTCAAGGCAGCCATCCAGACGGACTCGCAGAGATTGTGACGGGCAGCCCTCGGCTCGCGACCACAACGGAGCCCAAAATGTCCGTTGCTAAGCGAGACAGCGGTTCGGTGAGCTTTGCCCCATTTTATGACCCTGCCTGCCACGACTGTTAAGTGAATCACTGCAGCGGTTAAGTTGGTAGCACGGCCATTAAGTGAATCCAGCTTTGCTTGTCAGAAAGGGGATCCCATGATCCCGGGGGGGGGGGGGGTCAGTGCAACCATCGTAAATATGAACCAGTTGCCAAGTGTCTGAATTTTGACGTTGTGACCGTGGGGTGGGGGGGCTTACTGCAACGGTTGTGTGAAAAAGAGTCATTTTTTTCCAGCGCTGTTGTGACTTTAAGCAACCTAGAACTAAGGAGAAATTTCCTGACAGTGAGAACAATTAACCAGTGGAACAACCTGCCTCCAGAAGTGGTGAATGCTCCAACACTGGAAGTTTTTAAGAAGAGACTGGACAGCCCTTTGTCTGAAATGGTATAGGGTTTCCTTCCTGAGCAGGGGGTTGGACTAGATGACCTCCAAGATCCCTTCCAACTTTATTATTATTGTTGTTGCTGCTGCTGTGTTGTTGTTTGTTGTTGTTGTTTTGTTGTTTTGTTGTTATTATTATTATTAAATGGCCACTAAATGAATGGCTGTAAGTCAAGGACTGCCTGCACTTCATGTGCCTTTTCCGGTTATAATATTCAGGCTGCCTGACACCCAGGTTATGGTCCAAGGGCAGAAAGGTGTTGTCTTCCAAGCTAATAGAACAGAGGAACGAAGAGGCTCTACCACTGCAGATTCCTTTTAAGGTGCTGGCCTAGGCAGCTGTGAGTTATAGTCCTTAGGCATGAAAAACCAGCTGGGTGACTTTGAGCCAGTCCTCTCCCCTCTCTCTCTCTCTCTCAGCCCAACCCACCTCACAAGATTGTTGTGCAGAGAATAGGAAGAAGGGAGGAGTACAGTATTAGGCATGTTCCCTGCCTTGAGTTATTTATAAACAGTAATAAAGGCGGGATCAAAATCAAATAAACACACACACACATTCATTTATACAAACACACACACACACATTTTTAAGGGAATAAATACCATCTTGGCTGGCACCTCAGTGCATCCCACTTGACCGCTAATATTTTCCAAAGAAGGAAACAATTAAGCAGCCATCGGCATTCTCAAATAAGCTGAACCGGCTATCTCTGTAATATCCAGCATCACGATTAAGCAAATATAACGGGAAGGCTTAACAAACCATGATATCTCAGCCCCATGGTCTGCTGGCTTTCATGTTACATCGGGAGTGGAAATCTGGCTCGTTCTCCCGATATAATGCCAGTATCTGAAACAATTTGGTAGCAAGAGGGGCGATTAGCCAATCCCCATAAACCAAGGTTTTTCCTCCTGCTGTGGAAGAAAGTGGACCGTTATTAGTAACAGAGACCTGCACTTTAAGCTGATGCCAAACAAAGCAGAAAAGAAACATTTCAGAATAATCAAAGCTCGGTAAGCACCATTAAAACCTTTGATGCTGACTAAGGCACCTGTCCTTCCCCGTTCTGCACGGGGAATGTGCCCTCACCATATGCTCCATGCAAATGCTGATCTCCCCGTCGCTGTAGAAGGCGCCGTAGAAACCAACAATGTACGGAGAGTTGCACTCGTGGAGCACCTGGAGCTCCCGGATTATCTGGTTTCGTATGGCAGGCTTGATCTCCAAGTGAATCAGCTGTTGGCGGAAACAGGAGAGAGACATCAAAGGATGAAGGCAGTGCAGAACAACCCCAAAAGCAATTGTACCTCGATCCCCAAAGGTGCTTTTTCAAGAGGCAACTGGACTTTCTTGTTTTTCCTTTGAAGACGTTTCGCTTCTCCTCCAAGAAGCTTCTTCAGCTCTGCCTGGATGATGCGGAATGGAAGGATTTATACTCCTTGCAGACAGCTGGTCATTTGCCTTCTTTTAGAACAGACATGTCAAACAGAAGGCCCGGGGGCCGGATGTGGCCCGCGAAGCCATCCTGGAAATAGTGAGGGAACGGCCCCCGCTGCCTTGGCCCTGGCCGGCCGGGAGCCAATGTACAATTTTGTGGTGGCCATCTATGCTGAAACGCATTCAGTCTTAGCTCCACAAGGCCGTCTAGAAACAACGAGGAAGCAGCCCCTGCTGCGTCGCCCCCGCCCCCTGGGTGCATGCTGGGGAGGGGTCACCCTTTGTGAGGAATGAAGAAATGGACCATGCCTTGGCGCTTGCCCCGGTCCCACCCCCTTCTGCCAGAGACCCCCAGATCTGTCCCACTCCTGCCCAGGCCCCCACAGGCACCCTTGATGCGAACGATGTAGAGCTGGCCATGCCCACCCAGTAGGCCACACCCACTCCATCCAGTAGGCCGCACGTACCCTGGCCACACACCCCCGCCCCCCCGAGGGCAACCACAATGCTAATGCGTCCCTCAATGAAATTGAGTTTGACACCCCTGTTTTAGAGAGTCGTTGAGGCCACCTGGAGGTCCTTTCAGCATTTCCAGGAAGGCTCCACGCCCATTTGCACCACTCAGGTGACCCTGAGGACACAGATAAACCTCCAGGTGGCCTCAGTGACTCTCTAAAAAGGAGGCAAATGACCAGCTGTCTGCAAGGAGTATAAATCCTTCCATTTCCTCCACCATCCGGTCAGAGCTGAAGAAGCTTCTTGGAGGAGAAGCGAAACATCTCCAAAGAAAAACAAGAAAGTCCAGTTGCCTTGTGAAAAAGCATCTTTGGTATAGAGAGACTATGACTCATTGGGTCATCCTTTATCAATATTCATTTACCTAAAGCAGGGGTAGGCAACCTCGGCTCTTTTATGACTCAGGGACTTCAACTCCCAGAATTCCTGAGTCAGCTATGCTGACTCAGGAATTCTGGGAGTTGAAGTCCATGAGTTATAAAAGAGCCAAGGTTGCCTACCCCTGACCTAAAGAGATCAACACAATGATTCAGGGCAAGCAAAAATGCAGTGGGAACAGGAATAACCTCTGACTTCCCCATTGACTATGCATTAGGGAAGGTGGCAGGGAATGTTGGGAGATCACAATCATGTGGAGTGCAGCTGACCGAGGCGGCACTGCAGTGGCAACAAGTTTGTGAGTGCAACTGGTCTGGAGATCCTTGAAATTTCAATTCCACAGAAGTAATGAATCCCATATTTTGTACATATTCTTTAAATTAATACACTTCAGGTACCTTGATTCAAAAAACTGTTGCCATGTTATGCACCGTTTGGCTAGATGAAGGTTACAACCAGACAAAAATATTTTAATGGTGTCTAGATGACAGCCAGGCAAAGTATGGATAGACTGCAAGATTTGGCATTCTCTAGTTGCACGACAAGAAAAAAACTACTTGTGATTTTTAACATAGGTTTATTTGAATCTCTACTGGGATTCTAAAACACTGATATTGATTCAATGCAAATTCTTTTTGCATTTTTTCTCCAGCTTGCTTAAAAAATTAAAAAAAAAAAAAGAATCTTCCATTTTGTTAACATTACAAAATTTAAAAGATCAGACAATAAAACCCCTCAGAATCGGACTGCTTCCTGAAAGTCATTTTTGCAACTGAGAAAGTCATTTGCAATTTAAATAGAATTTAATGTTCCAGTGATCGTCTGGGCAATTTCTATTAATTATCTATATATAAATAAAAATGTAAATGTTCGTTTGTTCAAAATCTTAAATCTCCGAAAGTTCTTCACCGATTGCTTTGAAATTTTGACACAACATTGCATTCGAATACGCATGTGTTTTTATATACCTAGTATTATATAGATGTCACACCTGTGACACAAACGTGCGCTTTCTCTTTTCTTTCTTTTCCATTTAACCAGACTGAGCCACAGCAACCCGTGGCCGGGTACAGCTAGTAAGTAATGTATTTACTTATAACTTATAATGAATTATAAGCCTTTCTTTTCATTTTTATAGGGTTTTCATTTTTTTAATCTGTTGTACTCGAGCCGTTGTCCGTACATCGAGGCAGGTCACCAAATAGTGAAATAAATAAATAACGCACACCCCTTTAAAATCCTAGAAACAGGAATAGGCAAGACGCAAAAGATGCAAGTTTAGAAACACGGTTTCGCAATACACAAATTCATTCACGTAAGAGACCAGGTTGTATTGTGTTATGATTGCACATTCAACCATGAGATGTGCTTCTGGCCCTTTTAAAAGCTATTGGCAGACACCCTTGCTCAATAACCGAGAGCTATGGGACTGCAATTACAGCTCTATATTTGCTAATGATTCTGCATCCAGGAAGGCAAGCAGTCTAACCTACTTAGCAGTGCAAAAAAAAAAAAAAAAAAAGCAGCAGCAGCAGAAGAAAAGTGGGAAGTAAGCAGTCACCATAGGAACGCTTCCAAGGCTCAGGAATGGAACGCTGAAACCAATTATGGAAGGCTGTGCCCAGAAGAGTTCAAGCCTTATGTTGCGCAAATGTTCTTTCCATAACCAGATATATAATTTTCCAAAGGAGGGCAAACTTGGTCGCTCAACAGTGAGAAACTGGTGAAGTGGGCACAGCAGCGCCTGCATTTTCTGCATCGCATGAGAAAAGCACATCTTCCTTCCCCTGTCCTGACCACTTTCTACAGGGGGACAACCGAGAGCATCCTGTCATACAGCATCACAGTCTGGTTTGGAGGCATCCCTGATTCAGACAGGAAGGCGGTGCAGAGAGTGGTGAGAATAGCCGAAAAGATCATTGGCAGTTCCCTCCCTCCCATCCAGGACATAGCATAGAAGCGCTGCTTGAGCAGGGTCCTCAAGATTATCTGGGACACCACACATCCTCTTCACAATCTGTTTTCCTTGTTCCCTTCTGGGAGGAGGGGGCTCCGTGGTATCTGTAGCAGAACATCCAGATTCAGCCATAGTTTCATTCCATACAGCATTAACCTTGTGAACCCTCAAGCTTCCTCCTTCCGTTATACATTCAAGATGGACAGTATTTAATATTTATTTGCTATGTATATGGAGGGGTGTGGGTCTATACATATGTTGTACATAGTATGTTTAGGTGTGTGTCATGTATGTGTTTCACTTTGAGAGCGAGCCACTAAATTTCATTTTTGATGTGTGCCGTTCTGCCCACAGTAAAAAAAAGTGACAGTAAAGGTTATCTTATCTTATCTCCTATCTATCTCTTATTAGCCACCCAACCTGCTATCGTATCATCCATAGGAAAAAGATACAAGATATACCCTGGCACACCGCAACTATCATAAATATGGATGTTTATTGAGATTCTCAGTCATCCAGGTCATGGTTGTCCCAAAGGTGCTTTTTCGGGAGGCAACTGGAGTTTCTCATTTTTCTTTGAAGAAGTTTCACTTCTCATCCAAGAAGCTTCTTCAGCTCTGACTGGATAGTGGGGAAGGGAAGGATTTATACTCCTTGCAGACAGCCGGTCATTTGCATCCTTTTGGAGAGTTGTTGAGGCCACTTGTAGGTTTACCTGTGTCCTCAGGGTCACCGGAAACGGGTTCGGAGCCTTCTTGGAACTGTTGAAAGGACTGGGTTGTAGACTGGAGGTGGATGATGTCATATCCCACTAAGTCATGTCTGACTGTTTGCGACCCTGTGGACCACAGCACACCAGGCCCTTCTGTCCTCCACTGTCGTCTCCTGGACTCTGCCCAAATTCATGTTCATTGCGTCGACGACCTTATCTAACCATCTCCTCCTCTGCTGTCCCCTTCTCCTTTTGCCTTCGGTCTTTCCTAACATCAGGGTAAGTCCTCTCTTCTCATTTGGTGGCCAATATATTTTGAGCTTCAGCGTCAGGATCTGTCCAGTTGAATTCCTTTAGGATTGACTGGATCTCCCTGCCGGGTCCAAGGGACTCTCAAGCGTCTTCTCCAGCACCACAATTTGAAAGCATCAATTCTTTGGCGCTCAACCTTCCTTATGGTCCAACTCTCACAGCCATACATCACTACTGGGAAGACCATAAGCTAATATCTATCCTTCCAATCATCAAACTTTCTCTCCCCATTGAAGCAGGAGATAGAAGAACCAAAACTAGAGTAGAGTAGAGTAGAGTAGAGCAGGCTTTTTATCTAATATTTATTGTGATTTTTATTATCGCCTGTTCACCGCCCTGAGTCCCGTAAGGGAGATAAGGCGGTATATAAATTTAAATAATAAATAAATAAATAAATAAATAAATAAATAAATAAAACTCAAAAATAGGCTGCTAAGTCCCTATTAGGGCTCCTTCCTGTCTTTTTCTCCTTGGTCTTTGTGCTCACTCACATTAGAACGGGTCACATAAGCCAAATCAGACAACGGTGGCCAAAAGTACAGATCAATTTCGGCTTCTCTTATCGCAGTGTTTCGGAAACAGGAGAAATCCATTTAAACGCTTTTCATCATCTCAGAAAAGCAGCACCTATTAATTTTTTTTACAATTATGGATGGACATGGACTGAAAGCCACTACAGGCAGTCCTCGACTTACAACCACAGTGGGGGGCCAGAACTTCAGGAGGTTGTTAAGCGAATCACGCCTCATTTTACAACTTTTGTGCCACGATTGTTAAATGAATCACGGCAATTGTTAAGTGAGTCATGGGGTCATTAAGCTAATCCGGCCTCCGGCGCTGACTTTGCTCGTTTGAAACCAGTTGGGAAGATCGCAAAGGGCAATCCCATCATCCAAGATGTGGCAACTATTATAAATACATGCC